GGGAAAAAGATGCGATTTAAAGCAAAATATGGTGTGATTCGTGAATAAATCGCACCAGTTAGAGCCAATCAGTTTACAGGGACCATCAGTGTTTCAAAGTGGGCGTAATAAACGATAATAATGTACTATGCTTATGCTGGTTTGATTTATTTCATTTTCCTTTTTACTAAAAGAGAAATAAAACTTTTTTCTTTCTTTTTCTGACGACATAAATGAATAGAAAATTTACACATAAAAAAATCTTTTTACATGAAATACTATTTTACTAATATTGCACTACAAACGATATATTTTCAGCATCTGATTCATATTTCGATGTTCAGTTATTTTACACTTTTGAACTATTTGCTACTCTTTTTCTTGATATACTTTTCTTCCCAAGTAAATATATTTTACCTTCCACTTCTTAAACACATACTGGCTGATTTTAACAGGTTAGCCGCTACTTTAACATTTTTTAGGTTATACTGCATTGTTTTTAGCAACGAATCATTTTTTTTTTCGTTTCTGATAGACAGGGTGATCACTTACAGCCCTGGGTGTCCCCTAATCGTAAGGTGGGTGCTTATCGTCTAATGAGTAACCCAACAACCATTAAGATGTACTAAAAACAAAGCAGTCTCCACTCACCAATTTCTGAAGAGTTATTGAATTTCTATTTTGCATTTTTCTTGTCCTTGTTTAGGATGAGAATTCTGATGAAAGAAAGACGGTAGAGTTAGACTGAAATAGTCGGAAAAACACAATTAAACTCGGACAGCCTCACAGAAACTGGGATAACTTTGTCTCGAATACAAACAACTTTGACACAAATGAAAAAACTTTTGTCATGGCGGTCGTGGGCAGCGGTACTGAAAAGAAATAAAGAGACAAATATTTCCCCTAAGTACTCAGCCCCCACCTCGCCTCCTTTATCATCCGTTTCCCTGACCTTCCTTGGTATGAAGCCCAGTTACAAACTTCTACAGTAAACGAGTACAGTAAATTTAAGAAAAAGTATGAACGCCAATAAAGTGCGATTTTTGTGCAATTTTCGTGCGATCTGGAGTTACTTTGAAAAAGAAAAAAGCGGGCAATAACTGAAATATTGCTGCTTTGAGAGCATACTACAAAACATAGCAAAGTCAGTGATACTTATAGCATATTCCCAGCTTAAACGTCGTTCTTGGCTTGAAATGAGAGTTGGGAACAATTCTGGAAAATTCCCCGAGAGGAACAAGATAAAACTCCTTATGATGAAGTTCGTCCTATAGCAATTACACCTGATAATTACCTTCGAAAGTAAGAAATGATAAGTCGGCCATTTTTTTTTCCACCTTGTCAATATGTTTTGCCATGTCCTGGCTGAATTAGCAGTCTTTTGCTATGGTTGCCACGAGTAGGTTTTCTCGGAGATCAATTTGTAGATGAGAGTGTCCAGGCCTGTAGCTTTCTACCGAACCTATGAATCACTCTAAAAGATGTCAAACGGCAGCAAAACCTCTTCGACGGAGTAACGCCTTCTGAAGCAGGTGCAGGCGAGGAAAAATCATGAATATTGACGAGAAAAGTTTGCAATTTAGATCGTCAATGCATCTTTGATTCCTCTTTTTGTCTCAGGAGTTGGGGGAAAAAAGGCAAAGGACATCTTTATTTTCCTATAGGACATCAGTTCTACACATTTTCGTGCGCCCAAACGAGTCTAAATCGGGAACAAGCTTCAAGGTTTTTGTAATCGAACCCGCAGTAGTGAATTATCCTGGTTTGGACATAGTAATTTTACAATTAAATCGAGGGGGACAGGACGATGGGTGTGTCTGTTGTCGAAGTTGGAAAATACTTGCTTATCAAAGCGCATTTTTAGTGAGTGGGGTAAAACCAAGTGCAACAAGAAATCACTGAGGCCAATTAGGACGATGGAGAATATGAAAAGTGGCCTTTAAAGTGCCAATAGCAAAAATAAGCACACATACTGAAGCACTGTACGACGCGAGTGCGTGTACAAAGCTGCAATCGGTTCAGGTTTTATATCTGATTTGTTAGGAATATTGCACCAGTTTCCCAAGACCAATTATTGAGCATGGTAGCCGCCTTCGCATCCCAAAGATCGGCTGTGAAAGAGACTAGGCAAAGTAAGGCAGAACCAATGCAATCTCTGATTTTTCCTCCGCATTCAGACGACAGCAGTCAATGGTAGCCTTAACCGACATTGATTTGGAGTTCTAAGAGACTATTTAGGAACGGTAACGAATTTTTTTCTGGAACGCTTTGCTTAACCAACTCTTCATTTCCTCCCTCATCGCCCACGTTGACTAATTTCATTCCTCTGATAATATTTAACCAGGAACGTTACCGTGATATTCTCTCTCTATATAAATGTATATATCTATATATATGGTTTTTTTTGTTTGTTTAATGTGGTGTTTTTGTTCTTTTCCTTGGGGAGCAATTATTAAAAATTACTGATCTAATCGCAAATGGTGAATATTGGCAAAATTGTCAGATTTAATACTCTTGAAATATTGATCCAAGGCTTGTTATTTATTGATTGATTTCATTCAGCAAGAAATGTAAATTCAAAAAATAGCGCGAAATTTCAAGTATTGTTTGAATATATATTACCTCTTTGATAATTTAAGCAAAAAAATTTCCTAATTATCTCTTATTGATAAATTTAGATCAGATCCCACCACGAGACACACCGACAAAAGCAGAAGCATTTCAGTGCTCCATACTAATGTGCATACTAAAAAATAGTCAAAATATTTTGCTAAATTATAAATAAATTAAAATTATAATTGTATTAAATTTAGCTCAATTTTTCAAGTGTAAATGTGTAAGTACATCAACTTCTACCAAATAAGCTAATGGCAAACGAAATATTTTTAATAAAATTATTTGACGTCTTGAATGTTTGGATTCAAATTAAGTCGGCAAAATAGGACGATTTTCGATTGAAAAAAAAATACAAAAATAAATAAGCAATAAAAGAGCCAATGAAAACATGAAATACGCTTGTGTTAACCACGACTACGACAAGTGTATCACGTGATTAGTTGAAATGATAATGAGAGTTTCCATATCATTTAAACCTGGATTAGACTCTCAACTGCACATTGCCCTTTATCAAAGACTTGCGTAACATAACGCTGTAGATTAAGATCTCGGGCGTTTAATAGATTGAAGATGGATGTTATCGTTAGTTCTGAACAATATATTAAATACCTCAGACAACTAGTGGGCGAATTTCCGTAATATATTAATAGCAGTTTGCATATGATTGTCGCCAAACCACACGAGCTTTATAAAATTTTTTCATTCAAGCATTTATATATAAATAACCGTTTTTCTATTCGTCTTTCATCAAGAACGAGAACACCACCAAACAAATAGATGTAAGTACCACAATAAAAAATAGACCATAAAATTGACGAGTTTTTGATTAAGTCCTATTAAGGTTATTCTAGTTTTAAAGGAGCCCGGAGTTTGTGCATCTTTAAACTTTAACCCAGCGTTTTCAAACCTGAGTTGTAATTTACGTCAATCAATTTTTCTTCTTCTAATCCATCTGTCATTTCCTCTAAAAACAGCGTGCAGCTCCTTCCAAAAGATAAGGCTACCTCCATTCTGGTAGTCTTGAATGCCTGAGTGGCATAAATATGACGTTGCGCCAAGCGTGCTGTCATTGTGTTGCCGCCCCTCCCTTTTCTTTACAGTGTGCACACTGAATGATGGGAAAGAGAATGCGGGCTTCTGTCTTCATACTTTCACTGGCGCTGACGGTCTCATGTTCAGTCTCTTGGGAAGAGTACAGCTCAGCAGAACAGCCAGGAAACACACGATGGAAAGCAGTATGAAAGCGAAGTGTTCATCAAGAGGGAATCCGTGTTTGTAGCCCTTACTTATCGACCAAGCAAACGCACTTCCAGCAACAAGTGGAGCTAGAGTTCTGACGGAGAAAGAACGCAATAAACCTGACTACAACTCAGTTGCCTTGAAAAGCGTATATATTGTTTTTCAAAACGATATGTTGTAGATTACCATGCCACTCTTTAGCCAATTAAAAACAATCATAATGTTAATATTATGAGTCTATGACTAAAAAAATGTGGTGATCTCCATGTTATCATGGAATTACAACCAGTGTATCAAAAGTCATCTTTCTGAAAATGTACGCTCGGAGCTACATTACTTTTTTGACAAATTAAAGTTTGCACGAAACCCCTTTGTAAACAAACCATTTTGAGCCACCCTAAAATGAACTAAATACAAATAAAATTTGTTGACTAAGCTAATATGGGAGAGTTACATGTAAAACAATTAGCTAAGAGGTGCATGTGGAGGAAAGGTGAGTTTTAATCACACAAGAGAACCCAAAGAAAAGCACGGACAGCAAAGAGCGGAACTAATCAGTAGTTACTCAAGGTCTTAAAAAACAATCAGTGCCACACAATATGAGGAAAGGTATTAAACCAATGCATAATCCTTGTCCCTCAAAGTGCCTCAAATATCTTGGAGAGGTAATCATTTCAGTAGAAATAAGATATTTTAGACACACCTACCTGGATATGGAACTTGCTGTCATCGCAAGTCCATTTGCAGAGCCTAAGAGGTAAGCAGGTACCGCATTGTTGACAAGGATTCCTGTAGAGCTAAAGCCACAACCAATACCCATCCTCAGTGGAATGAGAACAACAATCAGCAATGGCCAGAGAACTTTTGACCTGTAACGAGATTGGAGAAGATCATTAAGTAGATGTCAATGAAGGTTGATTGTGATGTTTGAGCCATCTCAATCCTGACCCCTCCTTTTTAGTTCATACTTTTCATAAAATTTGCCTTTAGGAAAGATCTTCTTCTCTTTAGAGACTTTTTATTTACTAATTTTTCTTCAGCATTCTTCCTCTCCACTTTTCTCCATATTGTGTTTTAAATATAACCCCCTTGGTCTCCTAAGACGAACTAAGAAATAGATTTATAAAAGCCCCTTGGCTAAATTACTTTCTTTTTGCCACTAGCCACTTTCATCAACTATTACACGTACTCTACATGAACATGGTCATTACTTTGGAACCAACCTGTCATGTAGGGTGTTCAAGGCTGACAAAGAAGTAATTGTGATTCCCAAGACAATATTTGCCAATTGAAAAACCTGTGAACAAATCCAACAATTAATCAGGAAATTCCACACATTCTCATCTATTTGTGAAAACGGGTATGATATTTGGTAAATAATCAAACAAATGCAAACATGACATTAAAACAACTTGCATTACCCTGATTGATCCAAGACGCCTTTCAAGCTAAAAGGAAGAAGTCAAGAAAAAGAGCAAATCAATACACATATGTAATAATTCATGTGTTTCAAAACCATGTGTATAGCCAATCACAGTAATAAACAAACATTTTTGCCTAGTTTTTCAAAAGATGGATATGCTATTCAGCACATAAGAGTTAACAACACTTCCTGTGGAACTATCCATTGGATACTCAGTGGATAGCATTATCCATCCTTCAAGTGACCAAGGCCTGAACATTTACCTTTGGATATAACCATAACTGAAGAACTAACATAGGTCCTGCTACACACAGTAATGCAGTGCCTATCTGGTCAGTAGAAAAGCCAAGCCCACCTGTGTAAATAACACATAACACTAAGGTTAGTGCAGGATCGACTAATTGCTGTGTGAAGGGCCTGTTTGAATGCAAATAAGCTGACCATCAGCAGCTTTATGCCTTTTTTTTTTTTTTTTTTCCAAAATCAATCTTTTTGGGAAGGGTGAGGGGTGGGGCATGATTTCCATATGCACTCATGACCAATTTAAAAAGGAACTTCAATTCAGTATGATTATAAGGTGACTGTGGCAAAAATGGATGGTTGAATGGGGCTACTGATGCACCCCTTTACCGTCATAAGAGTAGATCACACTCTACATGTACATCACTCAAATATACTTCATTTTTCACATTTAGGAAAAAACAATCTTTGAAGGCCAAATGTATTTTGTCATCAGTAGGATTCAAGCCTTAATTTATAAATAAGGGCTAAATATACTTGCATATTTTGTAAAAAGAGGGATTTTACAGGATGGTCAAAATTTCAAATGTGATTCATGCAAACTTATATTTAAGAACAAATTAACACCTTACCATGTTCAGGTCCTGTGGCAGCCCACAAAGAAAACAACTCATCATAACCAATGACAACGAATGAAAGTGTACAATACACACAAATGGCAAGGGTTACAACACGATCCCTGAAAACAGAGAACAAGGAAATCAAATTCAAACAACACTTGAGGGATTGTATAAAGCACTGTTTAAACCCAATATGAAAACTGCACATTCCATGAACTAAAATGTGCATTAATTTATTCCTTTCTTATATAACTGCATAATCAACACTGTACAACAGTAAAAAGTATTCTGAAAATATCCTGAAACAACATGAGCTCTCTGGAAATTTATATTACCTCAATAAAACTGCAATTTTACTGTCTCTGAAGAATTTACAACATCTATATCTTGGACAACAGCAACTCTTAAAACCACAACAGTTTCCGTCATTGTCAATGTCCTCTTTGTTCACATCACTGATGAATATTTCTACTTCCTCTGTTTCTTCCAGACTATTTTTTTTTGTGCAGCTATTTTCATCATCTTCATCAATTAAACTGTTGGAAGCTGTGCTTTGCATGGCCAATTCACCAGTTTCTGAACTGCTTGATGATGTCTCATCATCACTGAGTAGCAAAAAAAATTGAAAAATCTATGATGGTCTAATAATGGTACAAAATTTAATTCATGACTTTCAACAAACCAACAGAATTAATAAAATTAATAATGAATGAGGACAAGAGAAAAAGTAATGAGAGGAAGTAGACAATAACCCTTTCACTTCCATGAGCAACCCACACAGTCTCTCCATACAATATCAATGTAATGGTCACTATATAGTTACACAGACAAGTGATGAGAATAGAGAAAAAAGTCAACAAGGGAATTATTAGCTGACCCAGTACCAAATTCTACAAACTAACATCATAATAATTGTATATAAGACAATTAGTAGAATTATTAATGAGATCTTGGAAGTAAGAGAGTTTAACAATTAACTAAATGTGCTCTCTGACTTCGTTAAGGGTGCTGAATAAAAGCCTGATCCTAGGCTTATTTCCTGTACAACAGCTGGTTGTTCAGAGCCTATATTGTATTTAACCAGCTAAAAATTGCAAGATTACCAACCTTGTAACAAGAGTCTCTGGTAGGTAGAAGTAGGCTAACACAACTGTAAGTAAGAGTGCTGCACAATTTAACAGGCAGGGTAGGAAAAATGGGAATTTATCGAATAGTGAATCTGAAAAAAGAAATATGTTTGAACAGAAATGCATAAGCTGAGGCCATGAAATGTTCTTATGATTTATTGTTATTCTTGATTTTCTTTGAGCATTTCCACTTTCAGTGACTGCTCAATACAGGTGGAAAACACTACAAACAGGCCCTTGGAACTCACATTAAGGTGACCTAAAGGCTTAACAGAGGTCAAAATTATAAACCCTTTAACTCCCATGAGTGACCAAGACAGAATTTCTCCTTACAATATCAATACAATATCAAGCAAACAAGTGTTGAGAATAAAGAAAAATATCAATTAAGGGATTATAAGTTTATCCAATACCAAATTCTTCAAACAAACACCAAAAGAACTGTATGGCAGACAGTAAGGAGAATTACTAATGAGATCTTAAGAGTTAAAAGGTTAATAGTGATTTAGGGAATCAAAGTCAGGACTTTGATGACTGACCACTCATAGTGACCACTTAATATGATGCTGCCTAATAAAGGTGTGACTTTAGTTATTTGTTAAAGACATTCTGATAAGAACTAATATCACAAAACAAAAACAATTAAAACATATAAACCATGAAAGAAAATTTTATTCACTAGCTGGGCTTATAATGTTCCTCTTTCAGTGGAATCTTATACACTACACTCTAACAAACCTTTTGTAAAAACACTGGGATATTTTTGTGATGGCTCTGCAAGATAACCTGCAATTAGAAATGACATTTGTTAATCATTTAAAATTTATTCAACATTTGAAATAGTAAATAACATTTAAAATAAATAACAAGTCATTTTTACAAATCAATAACTGAAAAGGTGCATGGAAAAAAGCCCAAATAGATTTCTGAAAGACTCCAAGACTCTCCTTCCAAATAGTCTTACACTCCCTTGTGAAACACATAAAGAAGAAGCTCAGTTAAGCATGCAAGGTGCTTTATTCAATACATCTCTTCAGTTACAGCTGCACAGATAATTAACTTTCAGAATACCAACCAACAATGGAAATTATTCTAATTCCTGTCAGCATTGTGCTGTTTTGCATTCTAAGACATTCTTTGTTTTGGCTGATCATTTAGTTTTGGTGTCCATGAGTACATGGAGCATTTTCTTACCCCCTATAGCTGGACCAATGATGAGTCCCACATTCCAAGATGTCAGTATAATTGACATTGCCATTGCCTAATGAAACAAATCAGACACAACGAGTGAAAATTCAACACTAAATACTGTGTGGGTTGAAACTGTATTTAAGAACACAGCAACCTAGAAAATAGGGGTGCCAAAATCAATCCGCATCAAAGGGTAATAAATTGCACTTTCTGTATGTAGTCTTTCTGTCCTGTATGCTAAAATGTTCTGTTAAATGATTTCAAAGGCCAATTTTGGTCTCCAATTTGTTCACTATTTCACAAGAATATTCTTGCAATGCCATAGGAGTACAGAAAGTTAGGAAGCCAGGGACTTGTTCATCAAGTTTAATTGTCCCACAATGCTCCAAATGACATACAACAGAGCTATCTAAATGTCCAAAATTTTCAAGACCAGGATGCCACTACCCCAGGTACCTCCCAACAGGGATACCCCTCTGACCTGAATATTGTTCAAAAATGACAATCAGTGCCACCTTTGGGCTCCTTCACTTCAAAAGTTATTCATTTGACCATCTGTAGTCCAGGATTAATAAGAATTTAAGTTCTCAAGCACCACTTCAGTGCACATAACATTAGCTAGTGAGATCTTAAAACTATATAAAATAACAAATAACTCCACCTGCATTGCTTGTGATTGTCACCTCACAAAACAAGCACACATGCAATCATAATAAAGTTAACTCACCTGATTTGTATTATCACTGACTTCTGAAGCAATTGTCTTGCATGTCCCTACAATTCCTGAAGTGAATCACAGAGATCATCTAAGTTTATAGAAAAATGTATTATCATTCAATGTTCTTCAACTAACAAGTCTACTATCCAAGTCAAAAATTTTTTCCACCCAACCCTCAGCCCTTTAATATAATCTTCAAAGTCCTAGGCTTTTCACTTCAGTTTCCTGCCACTTTTCCTTAGTTACAAAACCTTAATATCTATTAGTAACACCACTAAAATGATCATCACCGTAAAGTACGAATAATGTGCAATAACCACACTTACCAGCAGATAGTCCAACAAATAGTCTGGTAATGAAGGCCATGTAGAGAGAGACAGACAGACCAAAGCAAACCATGCCAACCAGGGTCATTGTAAGGCAGATCATCATCACAGGCCTTCTTCCAAATCTATCTGTCATTAATCCCCAAAAATAACTGAAAGGGAGCAAGTAAATTTTGGTTAGAAATGTTTGCTGGTCCATAGCTGCGGTGCCTTGTACATCAACACTCTCGAAAATAAAATCAATGTACACCACTGCAATTGATGTGTCTTGTTTTAATGTTTCTTTATTCATTAAGTTTAGAATAGAATCTTTAGGAACATACTTGGCCCCCAAGGTGCACATTTACTGGAAATCTTTCAATGATTATAAATTATTTGTAACATCTAGAACTGCCATGTTAAGTTACTATATCACATGTCAGCCTGGATCTAAGATTTTACTTATCAAATAAAAATTTCTCTGCAATTACCAAGCTGCAGTGCGTCCAATAAACATTGAAGATGCTATAACACCTGCATAGTATCCTAGAAAGGAAAAAAATAAATGGAAATCGTTATCAAATACTTTTGTTACATGTTACTTTGTAAATGCGGAAATAACTGAATGTTGCTGAGAACTTATGGCTTAGAAAAGTGGACACAATAGTCAGTAAATTTATTATTGAGGCTTTTATCGATTAGCACTGGTATTCAGTGATCCTTTGTGAATTGTCAACTATATAATTGACATATAAATATAAGGAAAGGAATCAACTTGTCCTTGATGTAAATTGGATGGAGCACATGGTAAAGAACAAAATTAATTAAATAGAGATCAAGTCAATTATTTCATAATCAGTAACTATCAAACCATATCATGTAGATCAAACACTTAGAAAAGCAATGACTACGGCCTGTGTCAGCCTGGCATTTCATATCTTAGTAACTAAACAAAAACTTTATGGAAATTATAGAAAGAATTATTATGTAACCACACCTGTGTCTTCATCTGAAATCCCAAAGCTCTGACAAAAAAAATAAAACAAAAAAACAGACACATGACAAATCTTTGATTAATGACAATATCTTAGACATCAAGTACAAAACAGACATTTTTCATTGGTGTTTTAAAAACCATGATGAGTTAATTAACTTTTTGTGGGTTCAATAATCAAGCTTCCTTCCCCATAATTATACAGCCTGCTGACATATTTCTTAAAATTGAGCACTGATCATAATTTCATCTCACCTTTACCATAGCTGGTAAAAATGGAAACAATATGGTGATGGACATTGCAGAACAAAACTGAAAATAAAACAACATTCATCATAATTGTTTAATTCCTTTTGTGTCAAGAAAATATAATTGTAATTACTTGTATTAATGCACCATAGCACTTCTTATATTATTTGCACCTCGATGTTCCACTTCCTCAAGGGCAAAGCTTATTTGCAAGTGGGGCACATTTAAAAATTGGACATGGCACACAAAATTTTCCCTTTCGTTTTCACCTGAATGGGAATATTATTAATAGTAATTAATTAACAGAAGTGTCTCGATTTTCACCTCTGATCTCTTCTAGCACTTTTCAATTTAATTACAAGTTAAAAGTGTCTTAATTCACTCAATTTGGACCACACTGTTCCCTTCTTGATCTAAGTCAACAACCTCTAACACGGGAGGCTATGCCTCTAACACATAAGAACTTATGCATTGAAAAGAATTCGTATTTGGTTCTCAGCTAAGAATATCTAGCTGCATATAGGTAACATTGCCAGCTTCCCTGAGGTGCTTAAAACAGGGCTGTCCTTCTATGAAACTGTGAATAGCATCATCATTCAAAGCATAAATCAAAGAGAGGTTTAAGATGCAACTTGTGAAGGAAATATGGATAGCATTTGTGGGTAGCTCAGCCCAAGCATCTAGAATCCATTACAAATTAACTTAACTTGATCGAGGCTCCGAAATTCCAAGTTTTTTTCAAGTTTCCGTGGCTATTTATCGTACTTTTCTCGATAAGAACTTTGAGCGGCTTATTCTTATTCTTATTCTATTCTTAAAATGAACTAAGAACAACCTCCAGGCACAATTATGAGATCGAATTTTTTTCAATTTTAATGACTCAGCCAGTGAGCTATATCCTAGGTGACATTCTCCGGAATTCCAAGCTCAGTTTTACAGCGTTTTGTTCAACGCATGCAGTGTTCCAATTTTACAATAATAAAGTTAATTAATGGATCATCCATCAGTCTGCCAAAGTTGCAACAATTCTAGCTGCAACTTCTAGTCTCGCTCTCTTATGTAAATTGATCATCGTGTGCTCCTTCACGTGAATGCTCACGTGCCAATCAGCGACAGTACAACAAAAAAATTTTAAAGCGTTCCCATCTTGATCATCGGCAGTGGCTCTTACGTTCTTTACGTCCGCTCTAGCTTTTGCTTGCGGAATTTATTTCTCCAGCATCGTTTGAGCAATATCAAGGTCTGACAGTTAAAACATCAGCGCTAAACCAAATGAACTAGACCTCAATAACACTGCCCCTTGTCAGACGAACATATTGCATAACCGGAGTAACCTACACAGAAAACTAACTACTACTATACAGAAAACAGTATTGTTTTGCTCTGATGAAGGGCTAAAGCTCGAAACATCAGCTTTGGAAAATCTTTACGGTGGCCAATTTGCAGAATCAACTCAGATGATAAAACCATGTCATCTTGAAATACCCCTACCGACGCAGCACCACTGAGTTTCATTAAAAATTTATCCCCTTATTTGATTAATCTGCGTTAGATCTGTTTTACAGTGCTGGAAATGGCTAACTCCCGCATTGTTTGAGTCTCCTATTGTCTTCTTAAATACACTACGGTAAGCTCTCAGGATAAATATGGAAAATCGCGCGTTGCGATAGAAAAGTTAAAGGAAAGATAAAATAATTACTTACCGAAGATAAGAAAACGATGGAGAATAGTCTCCAATTTAAAGGAGTTGTTCCCGGAGGATAAAATATTCCACGCAAGTGAGACATAAGGAAATTCATTATGGGTACAACAACAACTTCCTTCCTTAGATTTATCACAACGGCTACAGATGCAAAATAATAACAGCCAGGCTTTTAAGTTATGCCGGGCTTTCGTTACCTGTTCATGTAACATGACGAAAGCGTTACGTAAGTAGAGTTGTTAAGGTCATGTGACAACTTTGCTCTTTTCTCCTCTACAATACTTCTTAATTCCCGCGCCTTTTTCCAATTAAATTTTGTAGAGATGATCAAAATATCATGGGAAATGAGATGAAACGAGGAAAAATACTACAAGAGAAGTTACACTGTCTGATTTCCCATATGAAACCAGGCAAGACAATCTGATGTAATCCAGCACACATATGACACATCATATATTGGTATCACAATTATGACTCAGTATGACTCAGCGATTAAAGTGGTATTTTTTATTCAGTTTTGCGCTGATTCGGCGGATAACAAAGAGACACTTGTGCGGTACCGTTTTTTGGGTTATATGCGAATATTTTCCTCAATTATCTCTCGGTAAGAGAAAGTGAAACATTTCATTACTTTTTCGGTATATACTGCATGGTAGAACAACATATAGTCACTTTGTAAAATTTTTTCATGTAGGCTATATTGTTGTGCCAATTTGTGAAACTGTTATGTAAGACATATGACTGTGTTAACTAGTACAGTGGGTACATCCATCTACACTGTCTACAGTAGGTACAACTATCTGCACTGTCTATACTAAGTACAACTATCTACACTGTCTACAATAGGTATAACCATCTACACTGTCTACAAAAAGTACAACTATCTACACTGTCTACGGTAGGTAGAACGAATCACATTAACGAGCTTCAGCAAATGAAGCCGTCCTCCATTACAGCATATGGCAATATTCCTCGTGTAGATTGCTTTTGTCAGTTCTTTGCATGATTCATTTCCTTTATTCTTGGCCGGAAACCCTCGATTGCACTCCCAATAAAACAAAGTTCCTCACCCTCCCCCCCCCCCCCCCAACCAGGTATTTTAAAACTCAGTACACCGACAGTTTAGTTTCGAGATGGTCGAGCGGCAATCGTAGACGCGCAACGAGTGCAAGAGAGGTCATCGAGGTCGCGGGTTCGAATTATTCTCAATCTGGCTTGGGGGCCGAATAACTTCTCCCCGAGTATGATTTGGAGCTGGCGGTCAAGGAGTAACTCTCAAACTGGCTTGGAGGCCGAGTAACTCCTCCCCGCGGAATTTGCATTTTGTTTTTTGCTGTTTTTTCTTGTTTTTCTCCTTTTTTTTAATATTTTTATCTTCCTTTTTCCTTTTTCTTTCGTTTCTGAGCAGTTTTCTATTTCATGGTATTCTTATAAGCCATCAGTTCAGTAAGTTGCAGATTCATTCAGTTGAAGTCTCGAACGCCTTTTTATCTTTGCATGAACTGAAAGAGCTTCTTAATGATAATGCAAATTTTGTTACTATAAAAGGACTACTATCTTCTTTATTGAGGGATTCATAGGAGCCAAAAAGACAAAATAAGATTTCCCAATCTAAAAGAGATAATTTGACGCAGCGGTTTCTCAAGTGGTAGCAAAACTCGTTATCATCTTAATGGACGGGTGCTTGCCCTTAAGACGGTTACAATGTCCTCAAGGGATCTCACGTGGATGAGTCACTACTGAAGAAAAATCTAGGCTTAGCTGTAACAATAAAGACCAGTTAGTGACAATTAATAGGCACATCTCTGAGCTGATTTGTGAAAATAGGAACCATCTCGCCCCTCCTGTGGGAAGCGGTGGTTGGTGGAAAACCGTAGACGACCCACTCCAACCCTGTTGTATTAGATAACACCTTTGCCAACCAGCTGAATGATTATTTTCATGAACTTTGTACGGACCTGAATTACATTGCACCAGTAGATGTGGTTGTCGAGAGCGAAATCGACGTACCTGAGATTCCTGAGAGGCTAGTTTGGAACACCTTTGTGAAGGAGGCTGTGGAGGAAAACCTTAGCACCACTCAACTTGCTTATCGTGAAAGTAGAAATTGTACTAGTGCACTATTAGCGATCCAGCACTTTATCGACAAACACTTAGATAATCCAGACTGTGAGGCAGTACGGGTATTCGCAATGGACTTCAGCAAAGCGTTCGACTCAGTCAGGCACGAGCTGCTATCTAATAAACTAAAGTTGTTGCCCCTGAATACCTATATCATCGCAGTTTTCTTTATAACAGACAACAACGTATAGTCCACAACTACTACCTCCACGAGTGGAGAGGAGTAAATAAGGGGACAACGCAGGGAAGTGTGAGCGGCTCCTACTTATTTAACGTGTTCTTAAATGACCTTGATATAAAGCTATGTTTCACTCCCGCCCTTTTTAAGTATGCCGATGACTCAACCATTGTCGCACCAGTGTGGAAAGGGGGCAGTGACACGTCAAGTGGTTTAGTGGAGAAATTTTGGACTTGGGCGAACTGTAATTCCATGAGCTGTAACCCTAACAAACGTAAAGAACTTGTCATAAAGAAGAAATGGAACTCCACATCCTATCCTGTTGTTCGTAATATACCACAACATGCCACTCTTAAGTTATTAGGTCTGACCTTCCAAAATGATTGTAAATTTTTTGCACACATAAAAGCTAAACTGTGCAAGGCCAACAAATGTCTACACGTGCTGAGAGTATGTAGAAAAGAGCGCTACAGCCAGACAGAAATTGATTATCTCTTCTATAGACAGATGCTATAAGTTGCGCTTTATATCTACGCAGTTAAATATTAGATCATTACTAAAAAAACAAGATAAAGCGATTCTTAAAATAGTTCAACAGCGTGATAACCACCCTCTGAAGGTTTGCTTATCGCAAGAAAAGAACAATTTAACCTACAACCTTAGACGTAAAAGCTGCCAATGGCCTAAGATAAATACTGAGCGTTATAAGAACACATTTGTAAATAGATCAATTTTTAAATACAACCTTTTATGATATTTTATGCCAAATATATACTATCTAGTTTGATCTTTTTATTCTTTTTATTCTGTAGTGATTTTTGGCTGAACCTTGACTCTTTTTATACTGTAACATTAAATATGTAATTTTATCTAATGAGCAATAAAGACATTTATTATTATTGTTATTATTATCATTATTATTATTATTATTATTATTATAATTATTATTATTATTTGAACACCAAAATTATGCAATAGAAAATGTAGGTTAGTGTTCTCAATCAAGTGCTAAGGACCATCGAGCCTTTTTAGCTGGTCCACGGATTAAAATACAATAAGCGCGTTTATTCGCCTAAACGATTACGTGATTTTTATGCGCAGTAAAAGATGTTCGATGCAATACTGAGGAGTCACATTAACGAGCTTCAGCAAACGAAGCCGTCCGCCATTATAACATATGCTAATATTCCTCGTGTAGATCGCTTTTGACAGTTCTTAGTAGGATTCATTTTCTTTATTCTTGACCGGAAACGCTCGATTGTACTCTCAGTAACACAAAGTTCCTCACCCTCCCCCCCAACCTGGTATTTTAAAACTCACTATACCGACAATTCATGCTTATATAATATGCAGTTTCGAGATGGTCGAGCGGCAATCGTAGGCGCGCAACGAGTGCAAGAGAGGTCATCGAGGTCGCGGGTTCGAATCACGCTATAGGAATTATTCTCAATCTGGCTTGGGGGCCGAATAACTTCTCCCCGAGTATGATTTGGAGCTGGCAGTCAAGGAGTAACTCTCAAACTGGGTTGGGGACCGAGTAACTCCTCCCCGCGGAATTTGCATTTTGTTTTTGCTGTTTTCTCTACTTTTTCCCCTTGTTATCATGAAGAGAACGCGCGCGATTTACTGAGTAAAAAAAACTTGATTAACTATCAACGCTTCATGACCTTCGTTAGGCGGGAATTTTCGCGGCAAACAGCTTCACCGGGAGATCCTACTTCAACTCAACTTTGTTTAAATTCGCGTTTGAATGATGTATTTTGGGAAATAGACGAAGTTTAGTACTGAGCTTTTAGAATACGGAGTGAAGTCGTTTAGAATTCGGAGTGAGCGTTTCGAATTTAGTGAGGTTTCAGAATTTAGGGCGTGCTATTAGAAATCGGAGTAAGCTTTTAGGACTTGTTGTGAATCTAAAGTGTGGGAGTTTTGTTTGGAATTCGGAGTGCGCTTTTTTCCCACCGTAAGACCAGCTGGCCTCTGTAAACCATGATATCCGTTACGGCTACGTAAGCTACGCCAACTTGTTGCTTCCTCCAAAATATGGTAAATATAACGTTAATAATACAATAATAATAATAATAATAATAATAATAATAATAATAATAATAATAATAATAACAGATATTTAAAAAAAGATAAAGGAAAAAAAGAAAGTACTTGTCAATATCTTGTTTGTACTTGACCGAATATATTTTATGTGCTCTTCTTTTACCCAAACAACAAAAAGCAAAACATACGAAATCAAACCACAAGTACAAAGATTACGGACAAACTGCTTTGCACGTGATACGACACAGACAGCTTAGCCTTGGTGTCAGATTACTACATACCGTACGTAGGATGTTTAGCATTTTATACTGAAGCGACCCACGTCCTCTGTTTGTCTTCAGAGTATAGTTTGTCGGCTTCTTAGCGGATAAAAACTGAAATTCATACGTGAGGAAGGTTGAAGAGGACGAAGTCTCAGTGATTTAAGGTAAGGTATGCTCGACTTCCGTCAGTTTCGTGTCCAAGAAAGGCGATAGAATAGTCAATGGCGTCTCTTCCATTTTGTCTCGTGGCTTTGGTTGCTTCACTCATCTTTAAAGATAATTACTTTGTGGTCTAGCAGTTATTCCCATCAAGAAATCATAGATTTTATTGTGATAGAAGAATTTATAAGCGAGTGAGGAAACGTTTTAATGTCAAACATGATCCACTTATGTAATTAACACTTTCAATTTGAAATCGCTAAGGAAATATGTACGCAGTTTATTTGAAACTTTTCGCAAGGCTTATTCAACGAGAAGGCACAATTG